CAGACCTCCTGCAACACTGCTTTCCCATCATCCTTATCGTTAGTGTTTATATAGACTTCTTAAATGTCTATTGTACATGTAGTCAGCAGATCGTTTTACAATCTATAAGTGAGGCTTACAGAGAAAGATAACAACTCTAAACATACAGAGCCAGTAGATGAAAACAAAAAATAAACATATGATTCCTCCATCTAAACATGATTTGAGGTAGGTCCCAAGTAGAGAGTTTGTTTTCTTTGAAAAGTACAGCATAGGCAAAGCTATGACTTTAAGAAATAACACAGCACAGCAAAAAGTCTATTAAAATAAACTGATTTGGGCCTCAGACTTAGCTCAGTGGTTCCGCTGCTTGCCTTGCAAGCACAAGGACCTGAGTTCAATTCCCCAGTACAAAAACACAAGTGTAAAATAGGTCTAATAGTAGAGCAATTCTGTAGTTCCTCGAGGCACTGGGAATTTATCAAGGTTTTGTGAAGGACATAAAGTCAACAGCAGCTTGGCTTTGCCTTCAAAAAGACCAAGTTTTATGTCCTCTTTAAAAGGGTGGGGGTGGTACACACCTGTAATCCCAGCACTGGGGCAGCTGAGTCAGGAGTTCTACCAGGAGTTCGAGGCCAGCCTGAGCTATAAAGTGAGTCTAAGGCCAGCCTGAACTACACAGCGAGAACTTGCTTCACAAAGCAATAAACCCCAAATCATTTATTCTCCTTGGTAAGATTTATAATATTCCCATTTACCAACCAAAATTATCAAATATAGTAAAACATTTTAAATTGCATAGGAAAACAACAAATCCACTGCAAGATCAACATTCATTTTCAAATTAGTAAAAGCTGCCTTGAAAAACACTGATGTTTAAAGTTTTTGTGACAATGACTATTTTGAAATTGTAACTTTGAGTTCAATAGCTTGTTAGTCAACTGTGCTGAAGAAATAGACCCCTATGAGGTTTGACATTTATTTAGATCACTAAAGACCTCAGAAATTTACATTAACAATTGCCATAAGAGAAGAGTTAATATGGTAGTGGAATTTGGACTAGCTTCAGGAGAATGCAGTTTAAAAAGAGAAGAAGTACAATCCACTGGGAGATCATTAGCAACCCAATCGCATGTTTAAAACTAATATATTAGCTTTTACCTGAGCACTTAAAACAGTTTTTGCAAAAAAAAAAAAAAAAAAAGTTCCCTACTGAAATTTAGATTTTATTTCCTGTGGTAGCATGTGCTCTGCAGCCTAAGTCCATTTGTGGACTTTTTTAAAAGAGAGAGAAGCAAAAGGAGGAGAAAAGGAAAAACATACTGTCTGAAAGCAGTTACACAGCAAAACATGCTGGTATAATTAGGAAACAACTGTTCTCAGCCTTTCTCAATTTTTTTCAAGGTCTGAATTAGTTTGAAAGTTTAGAGAGTTACTGACGACATCCTGAGAGAACTCAAGATCCGTGTGAGTCAGCGCTGGCTTGTGGTCCTGTCAGCACAGTGCGCAGAGCGCGCACAGCGCTGCAGGCTGCTGTGCCACGGACTTGCTCAGGGCCTCCTGAGTCAGCAGATTCGGGTGGACCAGACTTGCGTGGGAATCTCACAGTGACAGGATCTTCCTAACTCAAGCTTTCATGGTTTCATAATCCATTTTAATTTACACACGCAGTTTCGCTCATCCTGGAATGGTCTTTTTTAACCAATGATACTCTTTGCCACATTTCTGGCATATTCATCCTTTTCTTGAAATTCTTTTGCGATAAGTGAATAAAAGGTTAACTACAAATAACCCAATAACAAATTATTAGTCTGATACCCAAAGAGCTATTTTTTTTTCCTACATCTCTAACTGAATGTAATTTAATGTTCATAACAGCAGTTTGTAAGGTATCGTGTTCTACTTGCATTTGTGGTTTTTTTCATACCACGAAGTCTTATCCTTGCCTAATAAGGTCCGATTTGATTTTGGTTTCAAGCAACTTTTATATATTAAACCCAGCAACTATAACTTTTAGTATATAACTCAAGAAAAAGGACAAAACACAATGCCCCTGACAATCTCTAAACTAATTCTATCACATTCGGGGGGGGGAGGAAATTCCGTTCTTGCAAAGTGCAATAAAGGCTTAGCAAATATCAAATAACTTAATAAACCACCTCAGTAATTCATGACTAAAATTCAATGGTGAATATATTTTAAAAATGATACCTAGAGAAATCAAGTTTTAAATCCTAAAAATGTTAGCTTTAGAATTCTTTCTCTTTTAAGAGTATTTATAATTTATGTAGATGTTAAATGTCTTTATAAGCTAAATTTATAAGAATTACTTTGAAAGTTATTTTGCAAATATATTTTATATGAATTTTCTTAAATTAGGTACCATTTATGTCTTTTAGTTTCTCTTTGTGTGTGTTTTGAAAGCACAACAGTTCTATGAAAATCAGTACTTTTTCCAACAACTCCATCTGCTGGCTTAGAGAAAAAGCAGATTTTTATTCACTGTTTCTTTAAATTTCATATTTTGTAATTTACTTCCTTTTATGGAATTTAAATATAAATTATTAAAGTATTGCTTTTTTATTATTAAAGTAATAAAAAATTTATTATTTTCATAAAATTCACATTTTTAATTGCTCTAATAAATTTATTGCATTCAAGAATTGCTAGAACACCTATACATCCTCATGTTAAAGTTCCTGGACAAGACAGGCTGAAGCTTCCAGCTGCCTTTAATGGACACCCCCGTCAGCCCACTCTCTCAGCCAACCGCCCAGTGTGGCACCTCAAGGCCCTGCAGATTGACAGCTGAACTGAAGCAAGGGGGAATTACACCCAGCATGGGAAAAGTGAGTTCTTTCTCCTTCAGATACAAGAGACTTCTCCAGACCTCATGGGGTGTAGAGCCCACACTGCCACCCTAATCACCCCTCAGCACAGACCAATGGGCAAACCAATCAGCTGTCAGCACCAAGGAGCCAGAGTCCAGTTTCATTTCCTCAGGGAGGGAGCAAGCACTCTGGGCCCATGAAGGGATGAAACAGCCTGAACATCCTCTCGTCTCTCCCTATTCCCTGTGCCCATTGTACCTAACACACCTGTACAATGACCTGAGGCAAGACAACCACTGTTAGGTGATGAAGCCCTTCCATCTCCAACTCCTTTGTCATTCTCATCAAAAACAAAACCAAAAACACAAAATTATTGGAGCACAGAAGGATGAGGTCAGAAAAAACTGAGTAGAAAGGGGGGAAAGAGTGGAAACGAGGGGCGAAGCATTCATTTATCCTCTGACTACTAGAGGACACTAACATTTATTGGAGGAGTGGACAAATGAAGGAGTGAGTAAATGAATGAGGCTCGAGGTCTACCAAAAACTCAAAGGCGAGACACAGATCCTCATCTCTATTTTCCCTAATTTTAACCCCTTTCCATTTTCTTATAATGACAGCTCTGAACAACAGTCAGAGGAAAAAAACCTTAATACTATTTCTGATAAATAAGAAAGGGAAGGAGGAAAGAAGGGAGAAAGAAAAAAGATAGAAAGATAGAAGTTGAAAGAAATGAAGACCAGACATTGAAAATCTATCTTTATGTTCACAGTTATTCATAGAAACTAAAGGGAAAAGGCAGGCACTTTGATTATGCCACTGTGACTATGTAAAACAAGGGTGTGGGAGCTCGGGTCTGTGCATGTAGTCATTTTACCTAGTTCAGAATAGAATTACTTCATTTTGTTTGCGTACACTTAACCCATTCAGTAAATCTCCTTGGATCTTTTACTCCATGCCAGCCACAACGTATCTAAATAAGTTCTCCTATCATAGGAATAAAATTAAATTAGTAAGCAAACAGCTGTGTTATTAAGTTATAAAACTCCACTTTTCTTGGTATGTAAATTTAATCCTGTGGGATTGTATGGCTTAACTAAAATGAAGAACAAGCTACCTTATAAGTATCAAATGATGATACATACTATTTAACAATGGAAATAGTATAAAATTTCCCCCATTTCTGAAGGAAGAGAGGAAAAGATGCTTTGGTCTTAACTGTCAACATGCTTGATTCTGTTACTTTCACTTTATCTAAGATGAATCATGGACTGCCTTGACTAAAACGGCGAGGAAACAAAGGATACAGCATTGAGAAAAGCCCCAAGCAGGAATTGGTCAAGATCATCTTGACAAATTTGATATTGGAGATTCCATCCACTTCTTTATGATTTTTGTGGTGGTGGTAGTTTACCTAATCACCCCTAAAGATTTAAACTAATTTTACAGTTTCTTTTCAGTGAAAAACAAAGGAAGGAAGGAAAGGAAAAAAGGGAGGAGGGGGAAGGAAGGGAGAGACGGAGGGAAAGAGAAGAAAGAAGGGGATTACAAAATGTATCCTCGACATTTTATATATCTGAAATTACTGATTGAATGAAGAAACAGTAACAAAATGAAGTGATCTGTTCAATTCAATGTCAAGTACAAAAAATTCTCCCTGGTACTCTGCAGCCATCAGTAAGATTGTTTATAACCCAGAAACTGCTGAGATTCTGAGTTCCCATGCTGTCACCTTTGAAGTGCATTTGGTTCCTCCAACTAATTTGTGTTAGTGTCCTAGAATAATAATCCATGAAAGTGCAATATCAGGATGTAAAGACATGGGAAAACATTTCTATTTCTGCTTCTGTTTCTGAAGGAAACAAAATCTGTAGATAAAATTAAATTTTGATATACCTTCTCAGAACTGTGGTCAAATGCATTAAATTGTGAAGTTACTTTTAAATAAATGAAATCTATGCACACATTACGTGAATGCATTGATTCTGTGAAAAATCAATGGCATTTAATGTGTTTAATATATGCATATTCTGGCCGCAGCTTACTTCAATAAAATTGATGTTTGGGGGGTAAAAATTTAAAAGTGTAGAGAATGAGGATCAAAATCTACCCAAACATGAGCCACAATGTCTTATTTTTATAAAACTCAGCACAGTAATTCAACATTTCCTGGCAACAACGAATATTCACTTTGTTGAGCGGTCACATCCGTCATCTTCTGAGGGAGCTGCTCTCTTATTTTTACCGACAGATGAGTGAACTTGTGGACCGCTGACCCTCTTCGGAAGCAGAGCTGTCAACAGCAGAAAGCCTGGTCTGCCCGGGAGTCTCGGGTTTCCCAAACCCTCGCCTCGGCGGCGCAGAGGACTGTGCCTGGTGGGCGGCGCACGCCATCGGACCCCCCGGAGGCTCTCGGGGAGCGAACCAGGGACTGCCGGACTCCGGCGGGCAAAGG